TATATATATATACACAACAAATATTTAGATATATCCCTACCTCTCCCTCTCCCTCCCTCCTCTATCTCCCCCCATCAATATCCCATCTTCTCTGCTTTAACACTGAGCTTTTACTCGGAATCTCGGAATCGCCGCGGCGGGCCCGAATTCGAGCAGAACAGGGCAGGAGAGAAGCCGGACGTCCAAAGGATTGTTTATCCCCGACCGTCTTGTGGTGTAGGGTCCGTGTTTCGATCAACACGATCCCCGTGTCGTCACGTCATCTGCCCCTCCGCCCCCTCAGGGCTCGCATGCGTGACTGTGCCCATTTCGGTACACCCCTCACGAGGGTAGCGGCCCCATAGGGAGCTCCACAGCAGCTCCCAGTGGCAGGGCTCGCATGCGTCACTGCGCCCGTTTCGGCACACCTCTCACGAGGATCGCGGCCTCGTAGGGAGCTCCACCGACGGCCCTAGTGGCAGTGCTAGCATGCGTGATGACTGCGCCCGTTTCGGCACGCTCCTCACAGGATCGCGACCCTGAATAATGAGCGCCACCGCAGGCCCTAGGGCTGACTGCGCCCGTTTCGGCACACCTCTCAAGAGGATCTTGGCTCGTACTGAGTATCTCCACCGAAGGCCCCAGTTGCAGAGCTCGCATGCATGATGACTGCGACCATTTCGGCACGCCCCATTTTGAAAAACCCCTTGAGACGATCGTGGCCCCATACGGAGCTCCACCGGAGGCCCCTGCGGCAGGGCTCGCATGCGTGACTGCGCCCGTTTCGGCACACCCCTCACGAGGGTCGTGGCCCCTATGGGAGGTGGCCCCATAGGGAGCTCCACCGAAGGCCCCAGTGGCAGGGAGGTGGCTCGGGAATAAGACCGATCACAACCACTTCGGACTGTTCAGGAACTACTTCGGTCGGATTGCAACCACTGGAAACGGACTGATCGTAACCTAAATGATTCCTATACAAACCCGTCAGGAGAACACCGGATTGCAACCGATCCAAGAGCTCTTGCTGAGGCCTCTGAAAGGCTTCTCTGAGGCCTCTGAAAGGCTTCTCTGAGGCCTCTGAAAGGCTTCTCTGAAGCCTCTGCGAGGCTAGTGGGAGGGTTCTGAGAGGCTTGTGGGAGGCTTCTGAGAGGCTTGTGGGAGGCTTGTGAGAGGCTTGTGGGGGGCTTCTGAGAGGCTTGTGTGAGGCTTCTGAGAGACTTCTGAGAGCCTTGTGGGGGGTTTCTGAGAGGCTTCTGCGAGGCTTCTGCGGGGCTTCTGAGAAGCTTCTGAGAGGCTCATGGGAGGCTTCTGAGAAGCTTCTGCGAGGCTTCTGAGAGGCTTCTGAGAGGCTTCGGAGAGGCTTCTGAGAGGCTTCTGAGAGGCTTCTGAGAGGCTTCTGGGAGGCTTCTGGGAGGCTTCTGAGAGGCTTCCGAGAGGCTTCTGAGAGGCCTGGCCCGCAGGCCCCACAGGCCCCACAGGTCCTGCGTGTCCCACGAGCGCCAAAGGTCTGGCAGGCCGCGCAGGGCGCACACGTCCCCCAGCCATGGTTCCCACAACCACCACAGGCCCAGACCGCCTGGCGTCGGAACAACATTTTTTTTTGTTGCGGGCTCGGGGGACCATCGCCGGGCCCAGGGGCCGTCCAAAAGTGACTCAGTATGCAATGCTGGTCTACTGTAGGTTCATGCGGCGTTGGCGCGCCGGCGACGTTGGCGAAGGCGTTCAAGGCTGCATTTTGCGACGCGGAAGCACCGAGGGACACGTTGGGCCCATTGTACACGACGAAATTCATCATTGAACGATCGGGGCCGCGATCGATTCAAGTTTGAACGATCCACGCGGTGCCAAAAGCCTTGCGGTTGCCGACGCCGCACGAACCTACCGTAGTGGAATTCGTCCAGACCTCTGGGGGTCGACGTCCTGGAAAAGTCATGACGTTGGGGGTTTGGGCTGCAACGTCTACCCGCCTTGCCATCCTGTCCTCTTCCGTTTCCCCCCCCTCCTCCTCCTCCTCCTCCTCCTCCTCCTCCTCCTCCTCCTCCTCCTGCTCCTGTCCTGCCTCCCTCCCCTCCTCCTTCTCCCTTCCTCCTCCCCCCTCCTCCTTCGCCTCCTTCGCCTCCTCTTCCTCCTCCTCCTCCTCCTCCTCCTCCTCCTCCTCCTCCTCCTCCTCCTCCTCCTCCTCCCTCTCCTCCTCCTCTTTCTCCTCCTCCTCCTCCTCCTTCTCCTCCTCCTCCTCCTCCTCCTCCTCCTCCTCCTCCTCCTCCTCCTCCTCCTCCTCCTCCTCCTCCTCCTCCTATCCTCCTCTTCCTCCTCCTCCTCTCCTCCTCCTCCTCCTCCTCCTCCTCCGCCTCCTCCTGCTTCTCCTCCTCCTCCCTCTCCTCCTCCTCCTGCTCTTCTTCCTCCTCCTCCTCCTCCCCCTCCCGAGATGCAATTTGTTTCACGCCACGCGTTTTCGCTCAGTGTCGGCTTCGACCGTATACGCATTACTTAGGAATCGTATACGGATCAAGGCCACGTTCGA